TGGCGCGCCTGCGCGAGGACGAGGGCTGCCCGGTGCCGCCCGAGCGCCCCCTGCCCCGCCGCGCCTTCGCGCGCCAGCTCTGGCTGCTCTTCGAGTTCCCCGAGAGCTCGCAGGCCGCGCGCGTGCTCGCCGTCGTCTCAGTGCTCGTCATCCTCGTTTCCATCGTCGTCTTCTGCCTCGAGACACTGCCCGACTTCCGCGATGACCGCGACACCTCCGGGCTGGCTGCGGTGGCCGCCGCTGGCCCGGGGAGCGGCGGGGGCCGGGCGGGCGGGGCCTGGGCGGAGAGAGGCGGGGTTTATCGGGAGGTGGGCGGGACCAAAAGGACCTGGCCAATCCTAAGACGGGGCAAGGGGCTGTGTGGTCCTAGGGACCTGTCCGGATCCCGAACCTCTAAAAGCTGGGCTGGCGGCCCGGGCCCAGGATCCCAGTACCGCCTTGCCCATCAGAAGGCTGGGTTGAAGCACGTGAGGACCCCCACCCTCCCAGGCGCAGGTTGCAGGGGGCAGGATGACAGGAACATGAAAATTGACGCTGGGGTGAATGCAGAATCCAAGCTCTGCGGCAGGCAGTGACCAAAGGAAAGGAGGGCCAGAGTGGAGGGACCGGGCCGGAGGGCTGCGGACGAGGAATCAGGCCCAAGGACAAGGACGGCAGGGTTAGCGCGGTGAGAAGAGGAGTCTGGGGGCTTGGCGTTCAGAGTCAGTCTTTAACCATTTTAGTCTGGGTTGGGGAGCTCAAGGAAAGGCAGGGCGCAGCACATGGGACCAGGCCAGGGACCCCTCCATCTAGAAAGTCCGTGTGGGAGCAGGGCTGGAGAAGGGAAAAGGCTGCACCTTCTCAAGCATCTTTTGGGAAGTCCTCAGAGTAAAGGGCAGGGATCACCTCTCCAGCCCCCCATCGAGTAGGAGAGCAGAGTCAGAAGTCTGGGGACAATCCCTGGAGTCCTGGGAAAGATGGGAACACAGCCAGGTCACTGGGGGCCGTGAGACAGCGGCCACCGACCAGTCTGCAGAAGGCATTTTGACAAAGTTGAAGGTTGCAGTGGGAGATTTTGACAAAGAGTAAGGCTGTCCCCAGGTCCCAGCCCTGGCCCACCCCCCATGAGCCCTCTCCTCCCTGCAGCTGGCCGCTCGGCTGAATGGCTCCAGCCCCGTGCCCGGACCTCCGCCCCGCCTGCCCTTTGACGACCCCTTCTTTGTGGTGGAGACGCTGTGCATCTGCTGGTTCTCCTTCGAGCTGCTCGTGCGCCTGGTGGCCTGCCCGAGCAAGGCCATCTTCTTCAAGAACGTGATGAACCTCATCGATTTTGTGGCCATCCTGCCCTATTTTGTGGCACTAGGCACTGAGCTGGCCCGGCAGCGGGGGGTAGGCCAACCAGCCATGTCGCTGGCCATCTTGCGGGTCATCCGGTTGGTGCGTGTCTTCCGCATCTTCAAGCTGTCGCGGCACTCGAAGGGCCTGCAGATCTTGGGCCAGACGCTCCGGGCCTCCATGCGTGAGCTGGGGCTCCTCATCTTCTTCCTCTTCATCGGGGTGGTCCTCTTTTCCAGCGCAGTCTACTTTGCCGAAGTTGACCGGGCAGACTCCCATTTTACCAGCATCCCCGAGTCCTTCTGGTGGGCAGTGGTGACCATGACCACGGTGGGCTATGGAGACATGGCGCCCGTCACTGTGGGCGGCAAGATCGTGGGCTCGCTATGCGCCATCGCTGGCGTGCTCACCATTTCCCTGCCCGTGCCGGTCATCGTCTCCAACTTCAGCTACTTCTACCACCGCGAGACAGAAGGCGAAGAGGCGGGCATGTACAGCCATGTGGACACGCAGCCCTGTGGCACCGTGGAGGGCAAGGCCAACGGGGGGTTGGTGGATGGAGAGGTGCCCGAACTGCCACCTCCACTGTGGGCCCCCCCGGGGAAACACCTGGTCACTGAAGTGTGAGGGACACCCTCCTCGGAGGGAAGGGGGGAGGGGGAGGAGGGGAGCCCGTGGGAGACATTGGTTCGGGAAGTCCTAGGTAAGTGGCGACGAGTGGGAGAGTGTCTGGAGTGGTGGGGGCCCCGTGGGTACCTTAGGTAGCAGCGAGCGGCAGTGGGCTCTGCCATGGTGCGGGGGACACTGGTGGCTCAGATCGCACCGGACGGTCGAAGCTCGGGGGCCTCTTGGAGTAGCGTTGCGGTAGGCTGGGTCACGTCATTTCGTGAATTTCCCAGGTCCTGTTGGGTTGGGTTGGGAGTCTGGTTGAGTCTTGTCCAGCTGCACCGGCGTGCAGGGTCAGGTTAGGTGGTCACCGGGCATGGTTGGAAGAACCTTCTGAGGCCATGTTATTTTGGGTTCTGTGAACTTGTGAGTCAAATGATAGAATGTGAGCTTTCTGGGTCATGGCAGGTGACGGTGGGTCGGAACAGAGGCCGGCTGCGTCTCGGGAGGCCAGGTCAGTCGGGTCATATGATTGAGTCCCACGCGGCTGAGCGGCCCGGAGCCGTCCCGGTGTGAGTCCTCAGGAATGTTGGCTGGAGTCGGGTGTAGGTGTAGGTGCGCCGACTGCAGGGCCGTGGGGCTGTTCTGTGTCGGTGCTACACAGACCCCGGGGCGCAGCAGGAAGAGCCTGGTGTTAAGAGCAGGTGCAGCGGTGTGGATTCTGGGGGTGCGCTGAGCCGGCTGCCCCGTGTCGCTCGCTGTGGGGACAGGGCTGAGCTCCGCGTGCAGAGATCCAGGCGTTGAACCTGAGGGGCTCCAGGTGAACTCGGGGGATGCGGACACTCCCATTCCCAGGTCTGCTTCCTGTGGCTGCCCAGAGCTCTGTCTGTCTGACCTCCCCTGCAGTTTTACTCTCAGACACGGAGAGTGAGCTGCGGGGGTGGAGGGGGAAACTGTTCTCTGTACAGAATTGATAGGGGGCAGACCCCAAAAGGAAGGGACAGAGACCCAGAAAGAGGAAGAGATGGAAACACAGAGAAGAGTGGACAAAGACCCACAGAGAGAGGAGCAGACACCCATATCAGCCCGCAGGGCTTTAGAGAGTGGGACCCCCAAACAGGCAGAAAAGGTGAGGGCCTCCAGCCTGAGAGAGGCAAGCGTCTCTCCGCAGAATCCTAAAGCGATCCTAAACCAGGCAGCTCAGCAAGGCCGCCAGATGCACTGGGGGAGGGGTCTCACCGGTTCAGGGCGAACTGAGTCTCAAAGCAGGGGAGAGGCCTCCCAAGGTGTGCAGCACATTTGGGGGCCAGGATGGGGGGGGGCAGGACTTGTGGCCGGCCACCTGACTCCACGCGTCCCTGTCAGCCTACCTGTACGCACGGGTCCCCCAAGTCCAGTAGCCTCATTTCTTACAGAGGAGGAAACTGGGGGTCACTGGGGAGGCCGTCACCCAAGGTCACACAGCCAGAAGGGTTCAGAGGTCTTTCGGCACTAAGGGGCATTCGGAGGAGGGCTGCCTACGGGCCAGGCGGCCCTCAGAGCACTTTACTGGGGTTCACTGATTAAAGCCCATTCAGCCTTCGCGAGTGGTGGTGTGTTTTGTTACTGAGCCCTGAAGTGCACTGTGCCCAGAGGGACCAGGGTGAGAGGTCAGAGGGGAACCCAGTGGAGTGCACACCTCTTTCCAAGGCCCCCTTGGAAGTTCAGAATGCAGCTAAGGACTTCAGTCTGCAAACCCCTGCTTTACTCCCACGCTTTTTGTACAAGGAGGGAATAAAAGCAGTTGTGGGAAGGTTTGATAATAGCTACAACGTAACCACTTCTCTGGCATTGGGGAAGCCACTTCAGAGACAGAAGGGGAGAGAGGCCCCACAGTGACAGTCTGGCAGGCGCAGACCCAGCACAGGGATGGGGGAGACAGGTCAGAGAGGACCGAAGCCTGGAGACAGGACCGAAACCTGACGGCCAGAGAGGGGAGGGCGGGGGGTGGGGTGGGGGTCGGAGACTCAGGAGTGGGGACAGAGACCCACGGAAGGGGGACCAGCTCTGCAGGGAAGAGAGACCCAGAGGGAGGCCAGTGGCCCAGAGGAGGAGCACAGACGCCCCAAAAGAGGAAAACGGTGGCCCAAAGAAAGGCAGATAGAGACCCCAAGAAAGAGGGAGACAGAGACCCAGAGAGAAGGGGACAGAGACTCAGAGAGAGAGAGCCAGAGACTTAGTTTTCTTTGAAAACCGAAACTCACTGCTACTGCCCCATCAGGGACCGGAAGTTGGCGTCCCCTCATAGGAGGTGGGGCGGCTGGGTGCTTAGGGATGGGGAAAGTGGAGAGGTCAGAGCGGTGACCTGAATGGCAGAGACTGGGAAGTGGCCCTTCCCCGCCTCCCATAAACAACCAAGCAGCCTTGGCTGGAATGAGGAGCCGGGGAGCACCCTAGCCCGGGGACACCCCTCCTGCCACCTTGCCATGCTATATTTAGCGAAGGGAGGGAGGGGGTGCGGGATGACCCCCCAAGGCAGTGTCAGTTTTCCTTCTGAGAATAGCTCAGGGGAGGGGAGCCAGAGTCCCAGGGCAGAGGCGTGGGGGGGTGAAGTCCCAGGCCTACCACTGGCCCAGGACTCCAGCTCCTGCCTCATCCCTGTCTTTCTTAGGGTCTTTCTCGGGGACTCTGACCTCCCCTTTGGGGGTCTATCTCCTTCTCGTGGGGTGTCTGTCCTCTTTCCATCTGGGTGTCCGCTTCTCTCTGGCTGTCTTCCTCCCTCTTCAAGGTCTCTGACCCCCCAGGTCTCTGCTCCCCCAGGTCTCTGCCCCCCAGGTCTCTGCCCCCCCAGGTCTCTGCCCGCCTTTTCTCCATTCCTGTACCTCCCCTCCCATCACGCTCTCCATCGGTCACTGTCACTGTCCCTTGTGTCTTTTAGCAGGTCATTTCTCGTCAAACACACCTTTGTCTGTCTGCGTGGGAGACTATAATACCTTGAGATTCTCTTGTCTGAGCTCAGGACAAGACTCTCCCCAGTCCCCACCCAGGAAATTCCAGGAGAGAGGACTCTGTGGGAGCGCCCCCACCCATGTCTCTGGGCCTTGGGCCTTATCGCTGCCCGGGCCCAGCTGGTTAATGTCTGTCATGGAGCTCCTGGGAAAGCGTGGACGAGAGCCGAGGGTGGGAATCTGCCCCAGGATTGACACTTCACTGGCAAAAAGCTGCAAAGGAATCTCAGACCCAGACTCCTGGGGCTAATGCATAGGGGGCTGGGGGCTGGATTCCTGAGTCCAAGGAAGGAGGGGCTGGGGAGGAAGGGGCTGGGGTCGGATTTTTGGATCCGAGGGAGGAAGGGGCAGGAGGCTCCGACTCCTGCGGCTGAGGGGAGGGGCCGGGGAGTCGGACTCCTTGGGCCG